GCTGCTATTAACTCTTTCAGTGTGTTCTTAATTTTATATTGCTTTTTTTTTCTTCTTCAGAGACCTTTATTTCTTTTTCGTAACACCAACTTTACAGAATTCTACTTTTTGACACGGGATCTTGCTTTGTTTCCCAGAACCATTTGTTTCTCAAATGGCCCTTCTGCCTCACCTTCAAAGTCTCGGAGCGACTAGCGGGATGCATCACCATGCGTGGCGGAATTTTCTTTGTCTTCAGATAATCCAGTAAATCAGTCAATCAGATACCCAACCAATCAATTTGTCCGTCCATCTGTCTCTGTTTGCTCTGCCCCATACCTGGATTATAGAACCTTATAGGAAAAGTTATACAGCTATTTGGTGAAACGAATTGGTGGAGCTACAGAGCTCTGAAATTTGTGATGCAGATCAATTTTTCTGAAACCCAATTAAATTCTCAATAACATTAGTAGCTCTGCAGTGCTTTACCATTTTCTTAGATGGACCACTTTCTTCTTCATTCTTAGCAGAATGACCGTCATTCTGCTTGTTGAGAATATTTTTCTTTGTTGTTCCCAATCTCAAAACTTAGAATCTATTCTTATGTGTTTCATTTTTCCTTCCATTCCTCCCATAATGAAAGTATCTGAGGTTTTTTTTTTTGTGCAATTTCAAACCCTCTACTTCTTTTGTAATTTGTTTAGACTTTTCTTTCTGTTCTCTCCTCTAACATGTTATTATCTTAAGTAGATAGACATGCTGGTTTGCTTTTTAATAAAACAAAACAAAGCAGGTAACAATAAAGAAAGTCTCTCTCTCTCAGAAACACAAGTCTGTGCTGAATAATTACCATGTCCCCGTAACAGTCTATGCTGATATCACTATGTGCATGATCCTATCCTCTTATAAAAACATGATGTGGTTCAGTGCCAGTGTCAGGTATCAACACAGAAGAAATTGAGTTCTTAATCACCAGGCCCACAGTGGTTAAGTACGGGGGTAGGACTTGGAACCTAAGCAAATGAGGCCCTGTGTTTTAATCGCTGTACTAGTAACCTGTCTGTCTTTCTGTTTTTATAGAATTTTTTAAAGTTAATTTTGAATTTAATTTATTGACTAATTATAAATAATGCTAACTGTGTGGTGTAAAATTCAGAAGTAAAGTGTGTACCCAATGGAAACCAGTCATATTCTAATTTCGTTGCGAGGGGAATACACTGACTTTCTTTGTGTGTCCTTGCAGAGATGTTTCAAGCATATGAAAAACTCTGTGTTTGCACTTCATAATACGAATGACTCTTCCCATTCTAACAAAAATATTAGCCCTGTTTTACATTTTGATTGTTTTCTTAATGTATTCTAGAAATACATTACTACAGAGATATTCCAAATTTCTCCATTTGTTGCTGCCAGAGGTTTAACCAGGGCCTTGTGCATGCTAAACATGTTAAACTGCATGCTAAACTGCATCCCTGAGCTTGTCTCAGTTTTTTTTAATAGCTGAATTTTATTCATTAGAGGATTATCTCATAATTTACTTATCCAATCATTTACTGGTAGATACTTAAGATTGCAACCAAAGCCAGGCATAGTGGCATATACCTATACTGTAATCTCTGCACTTTCTGAGGCAGAAAGATTGCAAGTTCAAGGCCATCCTCGGCTATACAGGGAGTTCAAGGCCAGCCTGGACTATGTAGCGAGAGTGTCCCAAAAGCCACACCCCTCTCCCCCAAATTGCACCCAGATTTTACTGTGACTGCAATGAATAGCTCTAAATGTGGCTTATGTGCAAATATGTCTGTATGATGTTACTTTGAGAGTGAAATTGGTAGGCTAAAGGGTATGTGTATTTAAAATTTTTTTTATCTGAGTAATATTCCATTGTATATATTTTAAATTTTGATAGCTCTTGCTAAATTGCCTTACACAGAAAGTTACCAATTTATATTTCCACCAAAAATGTATTAAAGTACTTGCTTCTGTGTACCTGCCCTCTCCCAAACAGTATGTTATCACACTTTTTGATCTCAGCTGTTCTGTTACAAACTGGTAATTGTCATTTCTTTTAGGACAAGTGAGAATATTTTTTTCCTTGAGTTTAAGATACATGTACATATCCTTTTGTGGGAATTATCTGTATCAGTCTGTCACCCATTTTTTCTGGTGAATGGTTGGGTTTTCAGAATGATTTGTATACCCTTTCTAATAGGAAAATTTGTCCTTTGGAATTTGTTGCTAATATGTTTTATACATATTGTCTTTTGAATAAGTTCATTTTTTTCATGTAGCAATTTTTTATTTTAAAGAGAATAAAATAAAACAATAAAATAGAACAAAACAATATTGGATTTCAAAAACAAGATTGAAGGAAATCCCCCATAGTTGCTATGCTACATATTGTTATCCTCTAAATAGATACCCAGACTACCAGCTTTAGCCTGCAAAGTCAATGAAATAATATAAGCATTAATTTTTTTTTTTTTTACTTCAGTTGCCATCATCTCAGCCTGTTTTCCTCCAAATCAGCTGGTTGTGTCAGGTGGGGGCAGGGGGCGATCTTCTTGTCTCCCAGCCTGCATGTTGGCTGGCTCACGAGAAGGTGCAAATTGGCTTCTTGGTTCTCCTCCTGGCCCACAACTGCTGCTGGCTCATGGGAAGGCATGAGTTGGCTTCTTGGTCCTTCTCTCAGCCCCTGACTGCTACTGGCTCATGGAAGGGTGTGGCTTGGCTTTTTGGTTATTCTCCTCGCCCACACCCTATTTTAAGTAATTGAGTTTGTCAACTTTTCCTATGACTTTTGAGGTTTGTGTCCTTTTCAGAAATACTTTTCCTACTGTGAGATTATTAAAGTATTTCCTGTTTTCTTAGTTTTCTGATTTCATTTTTTATGTTTAAATCTTTATCTGAATTTAATTTGGGAATTTAAAATCCAACTTATTTTTTTCTCTTTAGATGGCTATGCAGTGTTCCTAATGTCATTTATTGGGGAAATTTTTGTTCCTCCATATGCTAGAATATTACTTTAATCAAATACTGCATATTTATGTCTGTTTCTTAACTCTGTATTGTGTTCTATTGACTAGCTTGTCTGTTCACATTCACTACCAAATTTTCAGTTACCTAAACATATTCTAACATCATATAAGGCTGATGTTCTTGCTTAATTTATTACTTTCTCAAAGAAAATTGTTTTCTCACACTCCAATGAAGCAGTTTTTCTAATAAGACATCTTACTTTATTTTGTAAAAAGAAAACTATTTTAAAGACATCTCTGCCAACATTTCTTATACTGGGTTTTGTGGAACATTGGTCCTTTGGGAATGATTTCTCTAAAGAGAATTCCATGGTCAAATATTTTTGGAGAATGCTGCATGTTGTATCTTCTTCTTGATGCTCATTAACTTATCAGAAGCTCTTAGGCTGGGTGTGTAGCTCTTTGGTAGAGTGCTTGCCTGGCATATGGGGAAGTTGGGGTTTGATCTCATGTACTTGGGGGAGAAGTAGGCTTACATTAAGATTGCACCTGATACTTGTACAGTCTGCCTATCTCAGATTTCTTATAAGCTTAGCAATATCTTATGCTGTCTTTTCTAGGAAACCCTTCCTTGATCTACACAGTCTGGGTCAGGCATTTTTTTTGTTTGTTTGATCATGCATAGTTTGATCATAATACTTATTTGTGCTCTGTGGAATTTGTCTACTGGTTAGAATTAGAACTCGTTGAGAATAGCAATTATATTTTAAACTTCTGTTCCTCTGTGCTCTAGGACAAGAGTTTTAAATACTCTCGAGATCCTTTAGGAGTTGTTTTCTGAACTTTTTCTTGGTACTTTGTCTTATTTTTAGTGTCCCCCTTCAGTATATTTCCCTTCATCATCCAGAGCAGCTCCCATTTGTTTTTAATGTTTAATGTGCACCTGAGATTGTGTTTGAAGAGCATATTCTGTGTCAGAATGAAAGAAGGAAGGAAGGAAAAGAAAGGGAATTAAGGGAGGGAGAAGGGGGAAACAAAAGGAAGGAGAGACTACCAGGAGCTTGGCTGGGCGGGCACCTGCTCTCCTAAAACGAGTGTGGTGAAATCTTAAATAAAAGTGACAAACAATATGGTTCTGGGGAGTCTGCTGAGAAGGTCAGAATTCTCTTGGAGCAAAAACAAAAACTTCTCTAGATTGCCTGTATTTACTGGATTTCAAACAAATTTGCGGGGCATGAGGGAAAGTAAAGGGAAAAGCTGAGATAAAGACGGGAAGCTGAGCAGGACCCTGAAAAGTTAACACAAAGATTTTCCAGCAGTAAAATTTATCGTTTAAGAGAACTGTCTGATCTCTAAGGTTGACAGTTACTGCCCTAGAATTAGAGAGCCAAGTGTCTGCAGCCGCCTCAGGTGTGGAATTCCTTTGTTTTCAGAGCACTGTGGTCAGCAGCTTAACCCTTACACAACCCAGTCTCCAAAGGGAGATATAAAGAAAGATGGAGGAGTGCTTAGTCCTGAGGCTTAGTGCAATGTCTAGAAGAGTTGGGACTGGATGAATATTTTTTCCGTAGTGGTTGATTAATGCAGCCATCTGCTTTGATAGAAAGATACCAAAATGATCAGCATGACTGACCTATCATAGCAATTCACTCGTCTTTCCTCCAGCATTCTGTAGTTCAAACAGAACAAAGCATACCTGTTTATCATACAGCTTGCTAACCCTTTTTTTTCCTTCTAGAAGGTTCTTAATAAGTCTTCACAGATTTAATGTATGTGCTTGCGTTTGAATAAAATAACTTTTTGTTGTTTTATGAGAAAACCTCCGATTCCTAAAAGGTCAAGTTTTTTTTTTTTTTAATACAATTCTTCTACTTATTTTATAGGCTAAAGGCAAAAAGAATTTTCAATCCAACTGCTTTCTTTTGGACTTATTGATGAAGCATAATTTATCTTAACTAGGTTACATTGTGTGTATACTGACAAAATTTGTTCAACTAATCTGCAAAATATTTTCAATCTGATGTAATTTCTTTTCTTTTTCAGCTTGTGAAGCTTTGTATTGCCATGATTGATACTGGAAAAGCCTTTTGTGTTGCAAATAAACAGTTCATGAATGGGATTCGAGACCTAGCACAGTATTCTAGTAATGATGCTGTAGTGGAGGTTGGTATTGCAAAAATTACGGTTAAAGTGATAAATGCAAAAGACATTAAAGAATTATGTATCCATTTATGTTATTAATAGTTATAGAGGTACTTATAGTTAGAAAACCTGTGGCCCCCTTGCTGGGGTATGTTACATAATCATCTTTTCTAAGATAGTAGCATTAAAAGTTGACTTGCTAGGGGCTGGATTTAGATTTAGCTCAGCGGCATAAGTACCTGCCTTGCAAGCAGGCGGTCGTGAGTTCAATCCCCAGAACCGATAAAAATGGAAAAGACAAAAAAAAAAAAAAAAAAAAAAGTTGACTTGCTTTGTGCACATCTAGCCTCCCTCTCCGAAACCTGCTTCTCAGTGTTTTGGCCAGTTCACTAAATTCTCTGTTACTCAGGACTGCAGTGAGGAGAGCAAGATCTCTGGACTGCTGAGCAAGCTTTGAGCTAGCTGGGTTGTCCTAGGTAGTAAATGTTACTGTTTATAGTGTGACTTGCGCTTTCTGTCTGAAATGCTGAAGTAACATTTTTGTGACCTATTTCACTAGCTCTGAAATGACTTGATTTTCTTTTGGTTTCTTTTTCATAGACAAGTTTGACCAAGTTTTCTGACAGCCTCCAAGAAATGATAAATTTTCACACAGTAAGTGTTAGTAAGTAGGTGTTATACTTTGATCATGTTAGTATTTTAGTACTGAAGTGGCAGTATTTTATGGAATGACTACATTAAATTTAATGACTAATTTGTCAACAGCCTTTTGACTGAGTAGCTCTAAGTGTACTCTGTGTATGTACATTTTATTTTCCAGTCTAACACAGTGAACTTAATACCTATGCAGTAAATAGATACCCATTAAAGTTGTTTTTTTTAAAATTCTTGCTTTGCTGATTTTTAAGATTTAAAAATAAATACGTAAAAGTCATTTTAAATTTGGATGTTTCTTTTAATGTACTTACAGATATATCTCTTACCAAATCAATTGCCAATATCAACTTATGTATATATGTTTAAAGTTTAAGGACGTTTATCTTTCAAGAATGTAGGAATCTATTACTTTTATAACATCATGAAATTCCTTACTAAATTTCTAAAAATTTACTGAAAATACAGTAGCTTATAAGTCATGTACTTCTCTAAAGTATATGACTTTTTTTAAAAGCTCAACTAATATGGATATTGTAATAAGTTTTGAAGCCGCAAATAATTATCAACTGTCTATTCATGACTATAAGTACTTACATTCTTTATAAGAATTGACCATTTTTTGTTCTTAATTTGGTTTTAAGGGTTTTTTTTTTTTTTTTTTTTTTTGTTGCTCAGGTTTTTTGTTTGTTTGTTTGTTTGTTTTTTGTTTTTTGTTTTGGTACCAAGGATCAAACTCATGACTCTGTGCTTGCCAGACAGATGCTGTGCTGCTGAGCTGTGTTCCTGGCCCTGTTGCTCAGTATGTTAAGGATGAAGTTATATGCCAAGATTTATTTTAATTGTAGTTCAAATGTTAGCTGTACCAAAAATGACAGATGCAAGTACCTTCTCAAGTGCCTATTTTCAGTATTCTCGGTATATACTGAGGTGGAATTGCTGGTTCACACAGCAGTTTTATGTTGACTTTTCTGAAACGCTGTCAAAGTATTTTCCTTTTTTAAAAATTACAGTTTTTTTGTTGGCAGACAGGAGGTATCTCATAATGGTTTCAATGTGCATTTCCTTAATGACTAATGCAACTGAGAATTTCCATGTGCTTATTGGCTAATTGTGTATCTTCTGCAGTTGTCTGTTGAAATTTTTTGTCTTTAAAAAATTTTCAGTGTGTTTTATAGAGTTCTTTATAACTTGAAAATATTAAACTTTTATTTATGAGCAATATTCAAGTATTTCTTTCATTCTGTAGTTTTTCGGGGTTTTTTTGGGTCTGGGGATCGAACTCAAAACTTCATGCTTGCAGGTCATTCTGTAGTTTTATAAGTTTTTCCCTACTTCTTGGGTTTGCTAAGCATATGCCCTACCACCGAGCTACTAAAACATTAGCCCTTCTTTTTTCATTTTCTTGATTATATCTTTTGATACATAAAAGTTTTAAATTTTGATGAACTTTGAAATCTTTTTCCTTTTTTTTTTTTTTTTTTTTTTGTTGTTGCTTGTGCTTTTAGTGTCATAATATCTAAGAGAATCCATTTCTAAATCCAAGGTCATGAAGATTTATTCTTGCTAAGAGTTGTATAGTTTTAGCTTTAATATTTTACACCAGTTTGACCATTTACTAGTTCTATTTGTCTTTTACTGAATTTAGAGACTAGTGTTTAGTATCTTTAATTTCCTTTGAAATTAAATGATCCTATGGATTTAAACATCTTCAAATAAATATGCTAAGAATTATGTTTTTGGTAAAATTGATTTTAAATTAACATAATAAGAAACTAACATAATTTCTTTGTAACATATTATCCTTAAAACACAGAAATATATATATATATATTTTTGGTACCCACAGTTGAACTCTCGGCCTTGCGCTTACTAGGCAGGTGCTTACGCCACTGAGCTAAATCCCTGGCCAGAAATACATTCTTTTAAGAACATAAGAATTTCCTGTGTTTTTTAAAGCCCTGGGAGGAGGGAGGACTGGGAAATACGCTTTAGAAGTTCCTAGCCCCTGATAGTGTAGAAGAAGAGACTGTGGGGGAGTGTAGAGATGAGAGCCAACAGGCATATAACCACCACACTAATCATAACGGCCAGAATTCTGAAAAAACAGACTTAGCAGGAAATTATTATCAACTGAATTTTTATTCGTGACTGAATTCCCTAAATCAGACTGTCTGGTTTCCCTGCCACTTCAAGGGTAAACACTGCCAGCTCTTGTGCCTTCTTCCCTTGTTGCCCTGTTGCAGCGAGTTCTGGGCACAGCAGCCAGGTCGAACTGTTAAAAGTGTAAGCGAATTGCGTCCCTCCCCGCTGCAGGGGCTCCCCATTGCACTCTGAATTATATCCTATCGAGGGCCCCCCACCCCCTGTGATTGGGTTCCTGATGTAAATCCCTGATGTTATCTCTACTTTTTTGGGCTGTAACCACTTAGATTATTTTTTTCTTTGTTGGTCTTTGAACTTACCAAGTCATTCTCATCTCAGGGCCTTTGTGTCTGCTCTCTATGTGTGTGTTCCGGAAGTTCTTCCTCCACATCCGTGTGCAGTTGGTTTCCTCACAGTATTCTCCTCCCTCACTTTATTTGGGCCCCTCCTTCTTAGAGAGGCCTTCCCCAACCACCCTGTCTTACAGTCATTTTCTCTCCCTTCACCCCATCCTCACAAACACACTGAGACTACTGTGTGGTGTGTTCTCACCTATTTTGCATTTACTTTATTGTCTGTTCTGAGTTCTGTAATTGCAAGTACTTTGTTATGCTTGGCTCTTTTTACCTGAAAAGTTCTTGGTAGAAAAGAGTTGTTCATGGCAAGGTTAATGAGACTAAAGTTATAAATTTATGAAAGCTCTTGGTGTTTTCTGACAGTCATCAAATCAAAGATTTGTTAAGTCAGTAGCAGAACGACAAATGGACAATCGAGATGTTTACTGTTTTTAATTTTCTTTCATTGTTTCTTGTGCTTGAGAGCTTTCAGGATCATGTGGACTATAAAACTCATGTTGAAAAGATAACTTGGGGCTGGTGATACAACTCAGACGTAGAGTGCTTGCCCAGTGTGCACAAGGCAGTGAATTCAATCTCTAGGATGGGAGAAAGAATCTTAATTAGTACACTATTGGGGAAATCACTGTTGCCCAGCCTGTGTGCCTGGAGGTCTGAAGGTTGTGAACATCTGTATGTGTGTGTGTGTTGATAGAAAAATACTATGAATATTTAAATAAAATTATTACAGTAAGAGACACATGACATTAATCTCCCTCAAGTGACTTCCCTTTGCTTTGAAAATATTTACTTATCTGATGGTTCTTGGCACTTTCTGAAGCAGGTTTGGAAGTTCCCTTTCATGAGTGTCTTTACTAAGTTTGATTAAAAAACTATGGTGAGTGCTGCTAATGAGTGCTGTCCTATGGGAAGGCAGGCTGTAACACACCATGTGTTGCCTTCTACCTTATTCACTGGCTTTTGTACCACGTGACTAACTGCTGGCTCTTCGCCAAGTCAGGATGACCAGGGAAGGTCAGTGTACACAATGCAGGACACTGTGGCAGCCACAACAGTGCAACTAAAGAATTTAAGAAAGAGGACTTCCAGAACGGCTTCAGAATGTGGCCAAGTGCCATGATCCCGTGAGTGTTGGAAGCAGGGAGTGTATTTGAGGGAAGTCAATAGCAATATGTTGCTTACTGTAATAAATTTAAAAAAAATTTAAACACGCCATTCTCAATCACACCATCTCTAGATATCCAGAGTCTTTCTAATTTTGTTCTGATGAATAGTATCTGCTAATAGTATCATCTGTTCTAATGAATAGCTATAACAATGAAAGTGTGAATCCCTTATTTACTTTCTTTTCAACTTACTCTCTTTTTAACTGATATGTTGCCTGTATTGTCTGACCTTTTCATTCTTTGCTAATCAATTCTTGAAATTTTTCCTAGTAGGAATGACCTAAGTATACTTGAACCAGAATTTTTATATTTACTGTAAAGCTTCTTTCTTCACTAGAGCACTGTTTTATTTTTATCTAGATTATGAATAGGGTTGACACATATTTTGTTTGCTGTTATATTCATAGTAATTGTATAATTCTAATCATGCAGGAGTCATTTATCCTAAGTTCTGCATTCCTTCTCTAGCAGGGGATTTATCAGCTAACATTTAATTATAAAATATTCTAAAATTGTTGAGCATTATTATCAGATCTAAGATAATCTCAGAGTCACTTCTTAAAATATGAGCAAAACCTAGTTTTATGGAGTGCTTTTTTTTTAAAAAAGTAGTGTTTTCTACAGTGAAATCTTAATTATGTAGCATTTTAGGATATAAGAAACAAGAAAAACTGCTTCCTCTGGTATCCTCGGGTAGAGCCCATAACACTTGGGTTTTGGTGTATCAGTTTGTGTTAGGATGAAAGTATAGGCTGTGTTAGAAGAAAATATTAGGGGTATGAATTTGTGAATAACTTTGTAGACTTAAATAAATACTTGAAAATAATAGAACTATTTGGGATATTAGCCCAGTAAGGACTAAGTCTATAGTTGGGTTAGATTATTCAGCTCCCCCCCAAATTGAATCTAGCTTTGCCAGGGCCTATATACTTTATTATTATTATTATTATTATTTTAGAGATACGGTTTCAGTAAGTTGCCCAGGCAGAGATTTTTAAAAAATTCTTGGTGGTTGTTATTGAAGAGGAACTTTGTCTATACCAGCGTGTAAGTGACAGGTAAAAGGGTATTTATTGCCCCTTCACTCTATTGAAAGGACTCCTTTCTCATATGTCATTATAGTTTGAATTATTCAATCTCTTTAAGTTGTATTTCAAATGGACAAATCATTCATTAAGTGAACTGCATTTCCATTCTTGTTGAAGTAATGCTTGTATTTTCTGGGATAAAATGAAATGAATTTGCACCATTGAGGATGGAGCATTTCTGCTTTCCTTTTTTTTCTTATTGTGTACTTTTAATAATTCTTTTGGGTTCATATGACAGCACTAAC